CCCCAAAACCCCAAAACCCCAAAACCCCAAAACCCCAAGGAATATTTATATTTCATAATAAAATGAAAGCCAGGTTTAAATCCTCCCAAAAAAGTGATAGACGAGCTGGATCGATCAAGAAAAATGTAAGAGTGGTGCTAAAGTATAGACGAAAGCTGGAATCTTGAAGAAAGATAGCCATAGAAGTTCTATCAGGAAGTCTTGTATGTAGAGACTAGTGATTTTTAGAGATATATTCAAACAGACGAGGCTTAATTCAGCAATTACGAAAAGATCTCATCATAAGACTCTTAATGTAAATAACTCTCATATCAGAAATAATCTCAACAGTGAGTTGTTCAATATGACCTCTAGCTGACACTGGAACTGATTTTCATATCCCAGATGATGTGAAATACAGATTTATCACTCCTAAAGTTTTGGATAATGCTTACAACAAGGAAGCCTTCAATCAGGGTTACAACCACTTAGCAATGATTGCGTCTCAAAGACATGACAAAGAGGCTAAATTTCAAAACTACGTTAGCAAATAAACTGGATAAGAAGCACATAAAAGCTGAAGAAAATAGGAAAATGTTGTCTGAATATGCCCAAAAGAAGCTCCAGAAGCAACAGTATGTCTCTTTCTTAACTCTAGGGAAAAGCGAGAGACAGTCAAAAACAGAAAGTCAACAATCGAGCAGGAGTTCAGAGCAAAACATGAGAAACTCTATCAGAAGGACAAAAGCGAATATGAACAGTTTTATAAGGATAAATTAAAATAAGGAATTTGAAAATATGCATAATGCTTCAGAAAGACACAGGAAGTCTCTTAACACTTCAGTATCTGTAATGATCCCTATTCCTAACTTCATAGAGGAAGAGAGTAGTCCAAGAGAGGAAGTTTAAGCAGAGAAGGCATGAGAAGTCACTCCAGGTGACCCCAAGATCCTCGAAAAAGCATGCAAGAACCTCTACAGTTCAGGCTTCAACAATGAGACCTGGAAGATCCTTTAGAGAAACCTTCCTTGAGTCTCAAAGAGAGTTTGAGAAACGTGCAAATTTTGAGAGGAAAATGAACGATCTCCAAAAGCTGAGAGAATACGAATATCAAAAGAGAAAAGCCTTAAATGAGCAGAAATTCATTGGCATGGCTGATACCATAACCATTTAGAGAATTCAAATCGGAAGAAGATGCTTAAAACCAGCCAGACCCATCGCAAGGATAAAGGTAAATAACTTTCCTTTAAAACTCCCATAGAGATTGAAACTAGATTGTCCAAGTAAAAGTACTTCTAAGATTCTAGCTTGTACAAAAACCGTGCTGCTAAATTAAATAAAATGCTCGAAACAAATAAGAAACTCAAAAAGGATCAGGAACAGAAACTGTCCATGAGAATGTAAGCTTTCGGGTAACTTCACAGAGGAATGGAGAAAACACAGAAGGAAGAACTAATCGAGAGGTATGATTATAACCTAGTTCCTAGATTCTGGCTTTGGAGACCAGAAGAATTTCATGAAAATTAGATCATTTCAACTATAATCTTTGAATTCTTAATGTTGGTCCCATTCCTCAAATGTGCCTAATTATCATGTAGGTTAATTCAGAAGAACAAAAGAGTAGAAATGATGTAATTAGCTCGAAGTAATATTTTAGGAGACAAAAACATAGCATTGCATTTCAGAAATCCAAATAATTCTAAGTTGTTTCAATATGGTGACAACCAAGTGGGGTTTTGGGGTTTTGGGGTTTTGGGGTTTTGGGGTTTTGGGG